GTGGACCCCTCCTCTCTGTCCAGGGTGGACCCCTCCTCTCTGTCCAGGGTGGACCCCTCCTCTCTGTCCAGGTTGGACCCCTCCTCTCACCCATAAATAGCTGGAGATAGACACCAGCACCCCTCGCCACCCCAGCAGGAATAGGCGTGACAGAAAATGGTTGATGGATGGAATGGGAAAAACATTTGATTGCATCGACTTATTGACTGGACAGCAATCCCTCACACAGAGCATGCATGCAGCGTCCGTGGAGAGGAAAACTCTCTTTTATCAGGAAGAAACCTGCAGCAGAACCAGGCTAATTACTAGTAATTGCATGTTATACCTTGAACAAGACATTTCTGATAATTAATCTAAGTTATTGTTTGTGATTGCAGCATTTGTCATTGATTGACATTCTAGGTTCTATGTAGTTGGGCTTTTATTTTAGAGCAAATATCTCTAAAACATTTTGTAGGAGGAGCTTAATAAATGTTAAATAATTGTCAGTAGTTCCTAAACACGCCTGTTGTAGGCATTCCTCACTGTCTTACTAAGACTTTTATTTTGTTTGCATCAATATTAAAACTTTACCATATTTACTGATATTAAGAAATAGATTGTGACGTAGGGCTGTATGGTGGTGCAGTTTGTAGCACTGCTGCCTTGCAGCGAGAAGGTTTTGGGTTTGATTCCCAGCCCGGGGTCTTTCTGTGTGGATCTTCTTCCCATGCATGTGCGGGTTCTCTCTGGGTACTCCAGCTTCCTCCCACAGTCCTAAAACATCAGTGCTGGGTTAATTGGTGAATCTAAATTGTCTATTGGTGTGAGTGTGTGTGAGTGTGCATGCTGTGTGTCTTTGTGTGTCTCTGCAACAGACTGGGAGGGATCAGGGTGAACCCCGCCTCTTGCCCATAGACTGCTGGAAATGGGCACCGGTCCCACTGTAACCCTGATGGAATAAGCTGGAGAAGCTGGATGGATGCTGTGACGTTAGTTTTACCAATATGACCCAGCCCCATGATGAGGGAGCTGCATGGTGTCCAAAGCCCACAGCTGCTGAGGAGAATAAACATTTATTTGTCTTGCTCTTAAAGTAAACTCTAAGACTTTTCTTATAACTTGATTTAGTCCTGCAGTTATTCTGTTTGATTATTGGAAATCAGTTTTGAATTTCTATGAAAATGTTCCTCATCTTTTACCCCCTTCATCAACACCATGTAACAGGATCCTTGTTGTCTCTGTTGTAACTCTGCCTCTCTCTGCAGTCTGTAGCTGAACCGCTAGCTTTGACTTCTCTGACAGAAAGAACCATCCTGTTGGTCACAGAGTCAGGAAACCTGAGCGAGACCCATTGTCCTGCCATGGCTGCCGCCCTGCAGAGGGTCCGCGGCGTCAGTT